TTACTTGAAAAATGATAAAATATTTTTTAAACTATTCAAAAAATTAACACTAAAAGTATAATGAATAGATTTCAGAAAATGAAGAAATGAATATGGCTCAATTGCATGATGCCTTTGAAAACATACTACACATTAAAATACCAGAAGTTGAATTTGAAATTCTTTTTACAAAAGTAACAATGCAGACTTATTATTTTATTTGATCAGTACTTTTCTATCTATATAATTAGTATCTTTCTATTCAATAATTTTAGATGAATTTAAAGAGAGATGGGCATATCACATGGAATGAATTTATATCTTATTTATTAGTGGAGTTTCAGAAAAAAGATATCAGTTTACAATGGCAAATACTAAGATTTCCAATAACTGGCAATCCACAACTTTTAAAATCTCATCATCGTACAACTATACATAAAATTATATTCTGTCCTGAAGTTTTACCTGTACAAGCATATCTATGTTTAGTATACCTTTAGAATATTTCAAATGTAATTTGAACATTTTTTATTCAAATCTTATCTTTAGGACAGAACTACAAGTTTTCATAGAGGTTGCTATTTAACAATTACTAAAGAAGGAATTATAAATTATTGGACTTTGGATTTAGAGTATGAACGTAGTGCTCAATCCGTAAATCGTTAGTAATTTTCTCCTATATTTTACATTTAGCTCTACTTATTTTATAATTTTTTCTTTTTATAGCCTGTTTGAAAGTTCAACAAACTTTAATAACTGACATGATAGTAATGCCAGATGTGCAAGTAATATGTACAAGTTCTACTGAATGTGATTTAAGATTTTATGATACAGTGGCAAAAAAATTTGATCTTCGAGTAATGGTTTGTTATGCTTTTAAAATAAGTATTGATCGTGATTTATATCAATCACTTCATTTATATTAGAAAATTTATAATCAGATATCAGGTTTAGAGAATGCAGTTATTTGTATGGATTATTACTTTAATAAAAATATTAAAGAGGACTCATACATTATACTTGGAGATATGAGTGGATCTGTTAACATTATATCCTTTAATTCTGTAGAGAGAGGACCCTTTAAACAGGACCCAAAACGTGACACGTTATTTATTCGTTATGAGTCTGTTCTTAAGGTAAATAATTTATTTTCACAATCTTATTATTGCTACTGTATTTTTCAAATTTAATATAGTAGTATCATATATATTTCAGTATGTAATAATCTGTATTACAGGGTGAATGGGAAGGAATGAAAGTTTCAGAATTTAAGCATGTGCATTCAGATTGGGTAAAACAAGTAGCCTACTATGGAAATCTAAGAGCTTTTATGTCTAGTAGCAGATGCTGCAATTGTTCCTTGTTATTTAGTGATCTTACAGGAACAAGAATTCAATACATATTTAAAGTTAACATGGGCATATCTTGTTTTATTTTTTGTGAAGGTATTGTTCCTAAAATATACCTTTACTCTGATATGAATGTCATATCTTTTTAAATTTATTTAGAAAGTCAGTCACTGATTACTGGTGGATCAGATTGTATAGTTCGGATTTGGAATCCTTTTGTAACAAGAAGACCAAACAGTATTTTTCAGGGGCATTGTGCAGCCATTTGTGCCTTAGTTGCTCAAAATGCTGGTAAACGCGTGTATTCTCTTTCGAAAGATAAATGCATCAAAGTGTGGGATGTATTAGCTCAATCTTGTATTCAGGTTTTACTTATGATGATAATTCCATATATAACTGCACATTATAAAGAATGTTTTAATATTAAAAACAACATTTTAAAGAAGTGATTTTATTAAATCTTTAATTAAAATTTGGTTTCACTTTATATAGACGTACAATGGCCTCCCTAGTGAATTAGGTGAATATACATCAATGACTATAGTGTACAATACATTAAACCGCAAAATGATCATTGCCAGTGCAATGATTGCAGTGATTATTTGTGATCCTGTGGTAAATGAAGAAACATCTGATGGTTTTACACATACAAAATCTGTCAGCTGTGTTTTATACAACCATCTTTATAAAGTGGTACATTTTATATGTATTATAGTCTTTATTCTCTATATCAAAAACCATATTATTTTATTGAGGTATCTATAAATTTAGATAATTTCTACTGGAATGGATTCTTGTATAATAGTTTGGGATCCATGGCTTGGAAATCGCTTGTATTTAGTAAAACACGCGCATAGTAGATTTTTATTTGGACAATACCATGATATTGAAATTACTGCTGCTTGTTTTGATGAGTCTGAACAATTGTTAGTGACAGGTGCTCGTGATGGAACATTGAAAATATGGCACTTCAATACTGGTACTTGTTTAAGAAACATGGCACTTGAAACTCAGTGGTATTTTGTCATTATGTTAAATTAAAACTAACTTTTTTAAGAACTATAATTATATTTCTGTATATTTTTTACACATAGTGAAATAACAAGTGTAGTTTGGCTAGAAAATCGAATTCTGTGCAGTAGTTGGAACCGTCAAGTAGTAGAATTCGCAACCTCTGACACAGATGTGTATATAAAAAATTGGGGTATAAGACATTCAGATGATATTCTTTGCTCTGCTATGTGGTATCCTCAAGTGTTGGCCACAGCAAGTTATAATGGTGAAATAATACTTTGGAGATTAGAAACAGGTCAACCATTCAGAAAATACAAGGTGAACAAACCAATGTCAAGGTAAAATAAAAAATACTATTAAGAATAATTATTCTTTTAATGACATATTACAAGGAACAAATTTGAACTAATATTATGTAGGTTCAGCATAAGATATCAAAAAGATGATGAACCAATTATACCAACTAAATATGTGGAAGTTATGAAACAATTAGTTTTGAAACAGAGGTATTTTATATTTATACATTTGTAAGAAATTATAAGACATAATTGTGATTATTCTTTTGTAGTCAATATCACAAAGCTTCTAAACATCAGGAATCAGCAATGAATATTACACGAATTGTTGCTGTTCGGGCCATGCTGTTTTTGTGTGCCCGGCCAGTTAGATCCAATGTTGCAACATTGTTAGTTTCCCTTGATTCTGGTTTAATACAAGCATGGACTCACCACTCTGCTGGTGGATTTCTACAAGCTTTCTCAGTCATTCATACTATAGGTGATTGTGCACTGTCGTTAGCAAGTGATTCTAAAAATAATTTCCTCATAACAGGTAAAAACAGTATACTTATTGATTTTAGAACAAGATTCTTTAGTTATAAGTTAGCGGTTAATTTTTTAAATTCAAAATTAAAAAATAAATTTGTTTAAAATAATTTAGGACATCGTGCAGGATATATAAAGGTTTGGTATCTTGCAAACTATTTGATGCCGAATCCTTCTAAGATAAGTATGCCTCTTTTACGATTGGAATTTCCATTTCTATGGAGAGAGAGAATTATTGGAAGGGCAAAAAGAGCTGTAAGAGATCAGCCTTTGCCACTTTTACTTTCATCCGTACGTGGACATTTAGGAGCTATCACATCTGTTCAAATAATACCAGATGCACATATCATTATCAGGTAATAAATACGTTCATATTTATCACTTCACGACTTTTCAACCTACTTTTTCTTGTATTTATATATCACAGAGTAATAATTGTTGATATAAAAATATATTACTTCTTGAACTTCGGTTTAAAATTTTTTTGCAATAAATTTCATTAAATAATTATTTATGTTCCCTTTTTATTGATTCAAAGTGGTAGCGTAGATCATACAGTACGCTTATGGTCACTTGGTGGACGTTACATTTCAACACTTGGAACTTCCAAGCCATGGTCACCAATTTTACCAACAATTCCAGCATATCAGTACTTCAAAGATTATAGAGATCCACCAGATATTAAAAGATTTGCTAGTTCTACTACACTAAAAGTAATTGAATTATTTTTAATAAGTAAACTTTCAAATTTGGGAATGTATAAAAGCAGATTGTTAAATGATACTGGTATATAAATATAAAAAGGTCCTCAATGGAGGCATCAGACAAATGGTATCCGATGATCAAGTTGTTAAAAATAATGAAGCAGATACTTTAAAGAGTGTTCCTGATCAACAGTATATCATGGTAGATGGAAAGAGACTTACTGTTGCTATATTCGATAGATCGGTACTGATGATTTACACAGATCATCCAGTCTTAGACAATTCTTTACCATACGTAAATATACTTATATTGTCATTTTGCTAATTGAACATTACGTGTAATTTAATGAAAATAATATTACAGATACCTATATACACGCATCTAAAATTAAGACCTTTGGAGACTATTCAAACACCAAAATTACCGTCACTTCTACACGCACAGAAGGAATTAATGTAAGCTACTTAACTAAGTTTTTGCGTAGATTGATATAAATTAACGTATTCATTTGTCTCAATTACTATTAATACTCTTCATATATATGTATATATAAAAGGTTGAATGAATATGAAAATACTTATAACAATTTTCTTTCAGTAAAGATCCGCATCCGCAAAAAGTCATAAAATCACCGTACGTACATAAAAAGGTATAAACAAATGATACATATTTTTTTATGAAATATTTCGTCAAAATAGAAGTTGCGTTTCCATCAACGTCGCATAATTAATAGTTCCTTCTTTACAGATATAGTTCATAAAATAATGAAGACAGATTAAATTGAATAAAATCTACTTTTTCTTAAAAAAATAGTAATTACTTGTTAATTATTATTAATTACATGACAATTAATTTTCTTTTTACGGACTTCTGAGCAATATAAACGATACATATGAATAAGAAAGAACAGTAAGAATAATATATGTTCGCTGATTATTTGAAAGAAAAGTGAATGAAGAAATCTTACATTCATTGGTATATCAAAATAGTAACATCATTTCTCTATATTACGTGCGCAGGACATGACAAGCACTTTCATCGTAAGGCACAACATGAAATCAACAACATTGAACTTAATAAACTATACCTTTTATTCGGTTTCCATCATAGAATAACGTGGCGGCGTTTTCCAGACTGCACTGGACGTACGCTTTAATCTACTCCTATCTATACCTTGGAACAGTTGAGACAAGTCCGGTGTACACTTTCTAGTGTCGAAGAACTTGTAAACCGCTCTATCCGGAATGTATCGTTGCACTGCCAGTTGAGCTCTGCGCACTTGTGCTGAAATAAATGAAATCTCAATTATTCCGTGTGTTACATAAAAATTTGTTATTTGGTATGTAACAACAACAATGATTAATTTCTAGCAATAGTTACACAACTATTGTTATACATACACTGTGCCCAGTATGGAATTACATGCTTTGGTCTGGATTCATCATCTGATTCTTCATCATCAGGTTCACTGTCCAAAATGTAATTTGTTGGACCATGATGTTTAAGTTCAGATTTTGCCTGCAATGTTAAATATATCAATAAACTGATGTTATTAAGATATTAATCCTTAGACTATTTGTAATGAGTCAGACTCGTTACTTAATTTGAAGCACTATTTAGCAATTTTATGTTTGCATCAATTTGTTCATTTTTGAATTGTTTAAAAGGTTAATATCAGTTGCATTAACTTATCCTTATTTAAGTTGCATTAGACTAACATTAATTTGTAAATTTCCTCACATTAAATCGGTACGTGAAGGGTTAAGATATATGCTCATAATCTCACTTGTGCAAGAAGAAATTGATTCTTAGTTTTTGCAGCTTCAGCTACAAGTTGTTGCTGAGCTCTTAGCTCGGTTTCTTTTCGTTTCTCGGCCTCCAATTCTCGTCGTTTTTGTTCAGCTAATATACGTTCAGCTTCCTCTTGTTCTTGTAAACGTAGCAAACGCTGTTGTTCCTCCTGTCTTCTTCTTTCTTCTTTTTCCTGTAAATTAGTATAATCATAAATGAACTAATAACTTAAAGATTAATTTTAGTAATTAGTCTGGTACATATTTGTCATTGAATTGGTACCTGAGCTCGTTGTAACTGAGCCAGACGTTTTCTTTCCATTTCTTCACGTTGTTTCTCTTGCACTTGTTGCGCTATACGCGCTTTCTCCTCTCTTTCCTTCTCTGCTTTCTGACGTTTTTCCATATCCTGTTTTTCTTTCGCCTCTCTAGCTAACTTATTCTTTAATTCTTTTTCTTGTCTTTTCCTTTATACATAATTATTTTATATATTTTTCAAGAATACTGGTTTCAAATGGAACGAAGTACAATGTGTAGATCATTACTATCTTACCTTCTTTTTTCTTCTGTTTGAAGCCTCAGTGCCTCTTCTCGCTTCTTTCTTCCATCTTCTTCGTTCAATTTCCGTTTCTTTTCTTCTATTTTATCTATCGAATTACGTTTGTTGACTGATTTTGGCTGATGAATGAAAGATTCTACTGTTGTAATGATATTTGTGCGTACGGCACTTAAAGCTTTATTATCCTGAAATTATAATGTTAAACATAGATACAGAAATACTGAATAATTTATAACACAAAATATTAATGAAAAAAGTTACTTACATTTGTATTAATTTGATTTGACGGAGTGTGAGTAATACGATTAACAGACATTGGCAAGTGAGTTTTCATTTTGCTCAATGGAGTTGTCTTCTGTTGCTGCTTGTGGTGCATTTTTTCAGTAGGAAGTAATTTATGAACTTTTTGTGCTGATTGTACTTTATTCTAAAAAAAAGAAAAAAAAGAAATTAAAATTCTGTTAAAATGCTTATGATAGGTATTGTAAATAATATTTAATCAAAAGTAGTTTAATTACTTCTTTAAATTCATCAGCATTTTTAATCTGTTTTGCCAATGAAATTTTTTTAGCTTTCGCCAGTGATTTTCGTGCCAATTTATGAGCAACCGTTTTCTCCGAGGTTTTCGTGCTTTCTGCTGCTTCAGCTTTTGCAGCGGCTATGGCACGTGTTTTTGTTCTAGTCACTCTAGTTGGTGCATCTATATCCACAACAGGTTTTGGACTGTGCATGCCTGCTTGTTCAAATGCCTCAACTCTTTTCTTTACAGACTCCTTGGCATATGGACTGAATAAAGCATTCGATTTGAACGTATTTTTCGCTTCATGGAATCCTGTGACTGTATTCATTTCCTTCAAAAATGGTTTTGCAGGTGTACTGAGAACTTCCTCTACGTTTGACGATGTGGATAATCTTAACACCCGGTTTTGTTGTTTTCTGTTCCCTTGTTTTATCACTTCTGGCGATGATTCATCTTCTGTAAGTAATTCATCAAATTCTTTATTCACCATGACTTCTTTTAGTTTTTGCATCCTGTCCTGCAGGGATTCTGAGGAAGATGATACAAGCTTTGATAATCTACCCGATTTCGATCTAGTCTTTTCTTGAACTGGCTTCTGCTGTTTATTACTTTTCTCTATATTGTTACCGAAGTTTTTACTAATCGTCACAGTTTCGTTAAGTTTTATCGCTGATAAAGGTTCCAAAACTACCGTAGCATTCATCATTTTTTGCAAAGTAATGGTGGAATTGAGATTCATTGTAGAATTCATAATAGGGGTAGGTTTTTCAATTGCATCTTCATACATTGAACATTCTGCAATATCATTTCCTGTAGGTGCAATAACTGTATCATCAATAGTATTAGGTTTCTTGAAATTGAAGTTCTGACTTTCTGAAAATGATCTCTTTCTAGTAGAACTTCTTCTTGTCATTGGAGACTCTTTTGGAGCTTCACTCTTATCTTCTTTCAAGGTATCTTCTGCTATAGAAGCATGGTTTTGTGACTTTGTACTGTTCGTTTTCCTTAAACTACTTTCAATTACAATACTTTCTTCTGTTTTACTATGTTTTGCTGGACCTTGAGCAGTATCCTCATCTGAACTACTTCTGGCATGCTTCTTTCTTTTAGTCCGGCTTTCGCGTTTCTTCTAAAAATTAAAAAAATTTGTAATAATATTTTAAAACAGTATAAATATATAAAATGATAGAACTCAATACATATCACAGGTTGTGATACAAACATGGGCATGGCTGTCCTCAGGAAAATTTGATGGTTGTCGTAATTTTAAATTGAGTTTAAGTGATTGTTGTCTATTGATATTATCTTCAGCTATCTTTGAGGCTTTTCTTTTTGTCCTACTAATTGTTGTTTCTACTACATTCTCCTTTTTGATATTTATAGTTTCTGTTTTATCATGTAATGCAATAGAGTTTGATACTGTGTTGTCAATATTGATAATATCATCTTCTGGAATAGTTTCAATACGTTGCACACCTCTTTTCTTTATAACTTTTGGTGTCTTTGTAATTAAAGGACCAGATGTGGATTGAGGTATTTGAGCAAGCAAAGCACGTAAATAATCTAAAGTATCTTCTAGATTGTCATTAAGAAATTTTTTAACTTCCATGCAACGGTTATAGATATTTGAAGTATCCTTAGCAATCATTGCCTTAATTCTATCCTTTGATCTAGTACCCATATTTGAAACCTGAAAACATTCTTAATATATTATGTGATTGCAGCTAAAACACAAAAATAACAATAC